TATTCATGTTTATTTAGTAATCCCTAATACCTTTTTTCATTTAGAAATTTCTAAACTTTAATTTAATCAACCTCCATTTAAAAAAATACTTTTAAAATGTTTGAATAATTGTCATGTGGCATTACTGTCTCCTATCAGAATAGAATTAGTCACATACTTTCTATTACTTTGGAATATTGTGAGATGGTTAATTATAGTGTACCTGAATGATTTCCAGTAGTCCCTTGAAAAAGGCCTCAGTGATCCATTTTGTACCAATGGGTTAAGAAAAGCAAAATAAACATACTTCCAATTTCATAGTTCTTTTTTTCTGTGTAAAAACCACTTTTTAAAAGAGATAGTCATTAAGAAAGATTTGTAAGGGGTTAGGGGATTAGGAGATAAAAACTATTATGTATAAAATAAGCTACAAGGAACAAGAACCTACTGTATAGCACAGGGAACTGTATTCAGTGTCTTGTAATACCTATAATGGAAAAGAATCTGAAAAATAATATATATATATATGTATATATATATATACACACACACACATATAAAACTGAATCACTTTGCTGTACACTTGAAACACTGTAAATCAACAATACTTCAATAAAAAAAATAAAATAAAATAAGGTACAAAGATATAGTATACAACACAGGGAATATAGCCAATATTCTATAATAACAATAAATGGAGTATAACCTTTAAAAATTATGAATCACTACATCGTACACCTGTAACTTACATAATATTGTACATCAACTATACTTCAAAAAGAAAATACTCAAAGATTTGTAAATGTTTTTTCTAATTAATTTTTATTAGAATATAGTTGCTTTATAATATTGTGTTAGTTTCTGCTGTACAGCAAAGTGAATCAGTTATACATACACCTATATCCCCTCTTTTTTAGATTTCCTTCCCATTTAGGTCACCACAGAGCACTGAGTAGAGTTCCCTGTGCTATACAGTAGGTTCTCACCAGTTGTAAATGTTTTTAAGAAACACATCTCCAAATTAACCCACATAAAAATCTTGTAATGGTCAGAGAATAGAACTTCAGAATAGTCTTCATATAATTCATATAATTAATGACAGAAGTGGTTAGTGACACTTTGTTTCAAAAATGTGCAATTTAATATTCATAACTTACAGCCCTCCTTTTGTTTTCTTTTAATTTTCTATATGAGGACAATTTTTTCCCCCCACTGAGACTATACTTATTAATATTTATTTATTTTTTCTGTGCTGGGTCTTATTTGTGGCACACGGGATCCTCACCATGGCATGTAGACTTCTTAGTTGCAGCATGCATGTGGGATCTAGTTCCCTGACCAGGGATCAAACCCGGGTCCCCCCGAATTGGGAGCGCGGAGCCTCAGCCACTGGACCACCAGGGAAGTCCTGAGACTATATTTAAATTACAGAGGAAGAACATGTTAAAATTTCTTTATAGCCTCATGTCACTTCTCTGTTTATTGTACACTCCACCTTCAGAATCCTGTCCTTGTTCTTCTAAACTTCTGTTGCAGGCAGAATTCTAATGTCCTCCATGGTCTCTGTCCTCTAATGGTTTCCCCATCATTATATAAGTTACATAGCAAAAGGATTTGACAGGTGCAGTTAAGTGTATTAATCTGTAGACCTTAAGCCAGAGAGAGGATCTAGGAGGGCTTAACCTAATCACATGAGCCCTATAAAAGCATAGAGTTTTCTCCAGCTGGTAGTAGAAGTCAGAGAGGTTCCAAATATGTGAAGGATTTGACATGCCATTTCTGCCTTTGAAGATGGAGTCGGCCATGTGGTAAAGAATATGAACAGCTTCTGGGAGCTGAGAGCAGCCCCCAGCTGACAGCCAGCAAGGAAATGGGAATGACAGTCCTACAACCACAAGGAACAGAATGCTGCCAACAACCTGAAAAGGCTGGAAGAGGATTCTTCTCCAGAACCTCTAAGATAAGAGCCCAGTCCAGCCTATACATGAATTCTTAAAAAAATATGTTAAAGAGATGTCTACCAATTCTTGTATTATTAAGATTTTTTTTTTAAGAATGTCAAATTTTGTAAAATGCCTGTACACATCTGCAAAGATACTCCTATCATTTCTCTCCTTTATCTATTAATCTAGTTAGTTATTATTGTTGCCTTAGTAATTTTCCTTGTATTCCTGGTATGAATCCAACGAGGGCATAGATTGTTACTGCATTAATTTGCTACTGGATTCTAACTGTCCTTTATGGGACAACCTGGGTAATCTTAAGGAGAAGAGGTTAATTTCACTTCTGTCTCCTATAGGAAATCTCTTAAGGCATAGGCAGCTGCTGAGGTTATTTTATCACTTTTTCTGTTTTTCTACTGTAGAATAAGTTATAATACTGTGTTCATTACAGATGTGGAAAAGTAAAGTAATCAACAAGCAGGGGCCATCCATAATGACAATACCCCAAGTATAATAGCCAGCCTCCAAACTGGCCCCCAATGATCACTGCCTCCTGGTATACGTGACCTTGGGTAGCCTCCTCCCATATTAGGTAGCCATAGGATATTGCAAAAAATAATAGGTCGTGATTTCTAAGCCTAAGTCATAAAAGATGTTGCAGTTGCAGCTTCTGTATTGTTCTCTCTCGAATCACTTGCTCTGGGGGAAGGCAGGTGCCATGTCGTGAGGTCATGCAAGCAGCCCTACGGAGAGGCTTACATAATGAAGAGCTAAAGTCTCCTACCAACAGCCATGTGAATGAACCATCTCGGCGATGGATCCTTAAATACCAGTGAGATTCCAGATGACCACAACCACAGCCAATGTTTTGCCTGCGACCTCATGAGACATCCCAAGCTAAACCATCCAATTAAGCCACTCCTTTATTTCTGACCCACAGAAACGATACAATAATAAATGTTTGTTTTTTAAGTCACTGAGTTTTAGGGTCATTTTTTTTACTCAATAGATAACTAATACCAAGTTTCATATAGTTTCCTCCCAACAGAACTGCTGAAAGGTACCTACCTCTCCAAAACCTTTCTTTCCTCATAATGGATCTTTTTCATTACTTTAACCTGGTGTCCAGTGGCTAAGACTCCACGCTCCTAATGCAGGGGGCCCGGGTTCAATCCCTGGTCAGGGAACTAGATCCCACATGCCGCAACTAAGAGTCCGCATGCCACAACAAAGATCCCGCATGCCGCAACTAAGACCCAGTGTAGCCAAATAAATAAATAAATAAATATTTTTTTTAAAAAAAGATAATTGCCTCTCACCCAGGCTGTGAAAGTGAGAGTTCCTCTTCCTGAATGATGGTCTGCCCTCACCATTTCCCTAATGACTATTTTCCCAAATAATTCCCATACAGTGGGAAAATCTTGGCCCAGAAAAAAATCATCCAGAAACGTAAATCTTAGAATACTTATTTCCCTGTGGTTATCTCTTTTTTCCTCTCTGTCAAGATATAAGTATAATGTGAATAAATTGTTAGAGAAAGGAGCAAATGTGCCATTATCCTTGGTTCTGAGACATAATTATACTCTAAAGCATTTATCTCAATCTTTCTGAATAACCTAGAGTTTTATAAAATACAGGCCCCACGCCTAGGCCTCACTCTAATGGCTCTGATTCAGTACGTCTGAAGTGAGACCCAGGAATCAGTGGGTTTTTTTAATTGCGAAATTATTCTGATGATTATCCACTGTTAATTTGTCTTTTTACTAAAACCACACGATTTCCTTATTATGTTTATCTGTCTCCTCCCTCTGAAATATAAGCTCTATGAAGGAAGATATTTTTGTCTATTTTGTTCACTGATGCATCCCCAGCAACTAGTACTATGCCTGGCACATGGTAGGTAATCAATAAATGTTGAATAAACAATTGTAAAAGTTGATGAGCTGTATGGGAAGAAACAGATCTGGGAATGCAACATGGAGTATTTATAATTTTAAAGAGTTATAGTAGGATAGACTTCATTGAGAAATGACTTGAGGATATAACAGAGTGTACCATATGAACATCTGGAGGAAGAGGGTTCCAGGCAAACGAAAAAGCAGTACAAAGATCTTGAGTCTGGGATAGTCCCAGAAACATCAAAAAGACCAGAGTGGCTGAAGTGAAATGAGTAAGGAGAGGACTGGGAGACAGAAAATCAAAGGAGTAAATGGGGCCAGATCACACATGGCCTTATAGATACGAAAGAACGCTGGCTCTTATTTTAAGAAATGAAGAGCTATTGCAGTGTTTTGAAGAAAGCCATTGCATATTTAAAAGCTCACTCTGGCTGTTTGTGTTGAGAATAGAACGTCGAGCACAGATGGAATTAGGGAGACAAGGCAGAAGGTAGGCTGAGCCTTATTTAAGTGACTTCAGGAAAAATTGGAAGAAAGAAATTGGATACAATGAGTAAACAGAGCCTTTTTGAGGTTTGCTGAAAAGGGGAACAGAGAAATGATTCAAGCAAAGGTTTTATGTTTTAAGATGGTAGACATAATAGTGTCATATTTGTATGCTAACGGAAATGACCCAATAGAAAAAAACATGGGTGGTTCCAAAACCTGGGATTCTAAACTCTAGGAGAGACAAGGAACAATTGACAGAGAGAGCAGAAGAGCAGGAAAAATATAAGGGGCTATTAAAGAACAATATGTAGACATGTAGACTCTAGCTTCAGATTGTAGCCACCAAAAAACCCATTTCCCTCTGAACATCTGAGAGTAGGGGAGCGTATCTCCACCCCCTTCCACATAACAATTATGTGTCAGGAGAGAATAGTTTCCCACAGAAGTGAGAGAGAGTTTGTCAACTTTAATCTCCATGGTATGTGGGGGGGGTACTGTGACCCCTTAGTTCACATTACCATCTCCTTCAGTTCTTGATTTTCTTCTCTGGTAAACTGATGTGATTTATCTTAACATTTAAATCCTACCTCTCCACCCCACTGTAGCATATTGACTCATCAAGGCATCTGCTGTCTGCTTGCTCTCTTGATTTGCACATACCATAGCAGAATTAAATGGGTGAGTTACTTACCTGAATATCTTTCTTTTGGAGAAAGATGTGACCATCTAGATCAGGGTTTCTTAATCTCTGCAGACTGACATCTTCGGCTGGATAATCCTTTGCTGTCTGGTGCAGTGTAGGGTGTTGAGCAACATTCTAGGTCTGGACCCACTAGAAGTCAGAGGCACCTTCCTCTCTGTCCCACTTCCTGCCCCAGTTGTGACCAAAAGAATGTTCCAGACGTTGTCAAATGTCCCCCAGGAAGTAAAAATCACCCCCCACCCAGTTGAGAACCACTGATATAGATGTAAAGTTTCTCAATACATTATTAATAGATCCTGGTGCTGTCAATGATAAAACATGGGATAAAGCCGGGGGTTTGTTACCTATACCTTTATTCTGTGCTTTTGTCATAGATAATCATTGTTAACCCTCCACTTCTTATCACTATTCTCAAAATGAACATTAAGGACCTGGTATAAAGAAATAACTTCACGCTCACTTTAAAAACTGGTACATTTCCACACATGATTGGACTGGGGAGAATGAAGGAATGAGAATAGGTGAACTATGGACACTTAAAATACTATTGGTGAGATTTTGCCATCTGAGGCTTTTCAAAATACTTGTTCAAGCACCATATAGATATTTTTTTTCCTATCAACTGATTGCTGATAACATAAAATTGGCCTTATCTGCATTGGGTGCATCAATATGTATTACTTTGTGGTATCAAAAAACATCAGGACCAGAAGAACCCAGTCAAGCTTGAGAAGAACGTATTTGAATTCAAGACATAGTACAAAGTTACAGAAGTTAAGACAGTGTAGGATTGGCACAGGATATACAAATAGACCAATGGAAGAGAATAGTCAGAAAAAGACCCAGTTTATGACAGATATCAATGCAAGTCTATAAGGGAATGAATAGCTTTGCAATAAGGGGTATTGGAACACGTGGATATTTTATGGAACAAAATGGAACTTGACCCCTACCAAACAGGGTATACAAAATTTAATTTGAGATATATCACAGTTCTAAATGTGTAAAACAATAAAGCTTTTAGAGTAAAACAGGAAAATTTCCTCGAGACAGTCCTAAATAGAAGACAAAAAATACTAACCATAAAAGACTGACTTCATTAAAATTAAGAACCATACCCATCAAAAGACACAATTAAGCAGGTAAAAAGGCAAATCACAGACTGAGAGATCTTCATGACACGTACGTCCAACATCTCTAAATCAGTAAGAAAATGACAATAATCCAACTTTTTAAAATGAGCGAAATTCCTGAAGAGGTCTGTCACAAAAGAGGCTATTCAATGGAATACTACATAGTAATTTAATTAAAAAAGAAACTACTGATACTTGCAACAAAACAGATGAATATTACAGACATTATATTAAGTGAAAGTAGTCACAACAGTACATACTGATGATGCATTTATATGTAGTTTAGGCAAAACAAATAATGATGGAAGTCAGAATAGTGATTACCTTTTGAGGGTGTGTTGACTAGGGAGGGGCATGAGGAAACCTTCTGGAGAGAGAAAATATTCCATAAATTTATATGGACGGTGGTTTCATGGGCCCTATGGAACATACAGATAACTCTTTTGAGGAGTTTTTCTGCCAAGCAGAGAATCAAGGCAGTAGCTGGCAGAGAAAGTGAGGTTAGGAGAAGTTTCCTAAAGGATGGGGAAATAACATATGTATATGCTCATAGGAATAATTAAGTAGCGAGGGACAATGGTGATGGAGGGAGAATGCTGGCGTAATGTCCCTATGCAAGGTGGGAGAGGATGAGATGTTCTCCCTATGTGGAGGAAAGGGAGGTTCTATAACAGCAGGAAAGATGCTAGACTACATGTGAGTGATGGTTTGGATTGTATAGTGTAGATGTGATGAGAGCCTAGGAAGTTCTTTTCTGATTGTTTCCATCTTCTCAGAGAATTAGGAAGCAAAACTGGCAGAGTGAGGATAGAGGAAGTGACTTGGAAATAGGGGAAAAGAGAAGTGTGAAATAATCCAAAGAGTAGCACAGTGAATGGACCAAGAATCTATATTTCAACCGTGAGGTATCACTGAGGCCCACGTCAGGTTAGGGTGATGAATTCAGTTAGTGTGGTGTGTTTTTCTCCAGGTAAGTCCATCTTCATAGGTGCAGGCACCTGAGGGGTACAGCACTGGATTTAACCAGCTTTGCAGTTTTGCCATAGAGTGCCAATTTTGTGAGTGAGATCATATATACCTGGGAATCTTATTTTTACCAGTTGGGGCATCATTAATTCTATGTTCTTTCCATGGACAAAACTAGGAAATGTTCTTAAATATTTTTAAATGAGTTCATATTAATATTTATAATCATATTTGATATTACAGGGATTTTTATGAACTTCTGGGTTTATATTTGTGTATATTTTCTCTGGCAGTGAAAGTCTTGGGTCCTCATAATTCTATTCATATCAGCAATAAAATTACCAAGATTTCTTTGCAGTTTCAAGATTTCTTTGCAGTTCTTTTCGTCCTTAGAATGTATCCTATTAAGGAAGTACAAATGGAGTATTATATTCAACATTCATTGGAATAATTATATTCTCTGTATAGATCCTACCAAAATGAAATAAAAATAGGCCTTTTGATTGTTGGAGTTAAATTTGGATATTTACATTTTATATTCCTTCTAAACTTAATTTTGAATATATAAAACACATTAGTAAGAGAAAATCAAAACTATAAGAATTACACTCATATATACATATGTATAATTCAATCACTTTGCTATACACCTGAAACTAACACAACATTGTACTATACTTTAATTTTTTTAAATGGTTAAAAAAAAGAAAAAAAATTATACTCAGAGAAGTCTTGCTCCCATCCTTCTCCTGTTCCCATGGCCTCTTCATCCCTTATAGGTAAACATTTCTTCACTCTGTAAAGAATTAAACATTTATCCTGCCTTTGGGGAAGAACTATTATTTATCTCCTGTTGATGAGGGAAACTTCTTCTTTAGAGAAAAATGCCAGCTAATAAATGTAGGAGGAATTACTTAATTGGAAAAATCTTTTTGCAGTTCTTATTGAAATAATTAATTCAGACAGGATGTTAAAACCATTGGGTAAAGGTTTTTGAAGATGATATTGGCACAGAACCAAATATCACCCCACAGATTACTTGCTTATTGTAAAGGAAAAACATATCTTACAACTGATTGAGCTGGCATTATCATCTTAGCCAAGTGACAAACTTGACACTTTGTGCTCACTGATGGGATGCAATATTAAATATACAGCTTTAACCATGAAGCATTCTTGCCAAGAAATGTTTACCATGTTTCCAGCCAAACCTTTGGGCTAAACCTCCAGTTAATAGGAATATGGGAGTTAAAAGAACAAGTTAAACAATCAGACAAATCAAGAATGTGGGACATCTTACTAGACAAGTGATCTGGTTTCTTCCAATGGCAATGTCAAGGAGGAAAGGTGGCAGAGCTGTTCTAAAGAGACTAAATAAGACTAAATTTTAAAATGACATAATGATTCACAAATAGTAAGGTATTCACAAATAGTAAGGTATTCACACCAGGTACATAAAGTTCAACACTTTGCAATATTAAGTAACTTATTATTACTCTTACAGTTGTGTATAAATAGTTGTAAAAATAACAAGTAACGTGTGAAGTGTTACTGGCTCTTTACCTTATCAACAAGATGGACGTTGAACATTAAAATTGCAAGGAGTTTTATTTATAAAACCATTTAATAACATTTCATTAAAGTTTCAAAAATTATTTAAATTTTATTTAAAATTGAGACACTGGGCTTCCCTGGTGGCGCAGTGGTTGAGAGTCCGCCTGCCAATGCAGGGGACACGGGTTCGTGCCCCGGTCCGGGAAGATCCCACATGCCGCGGAGCGGCTGGGCCCGTGAGCCATGGCCGCTGAGTCTGAGCGTCCGGAGCCTGTGCTCCGCAACGGGAGAGGCCACAACAGTGAGAGGCCCGCGTACAGGGAAAAAAAAAAAAGTTGTCTTAAAATATTCAAAGTTATTAAAGCTAAAAGACAAAATATGAACACTAGCTGTATTCATATTTTGTCTTTTAGCTTTAATAACTTTGAATATTTTAAGACAACTTTTTAAAACAAAAATAATTTTAATATTTATTTTAATTTCCATTTTAATGAAATATATTTAAATATTATACACTTGGAATACATTTTTTATACTTTATGTTAGTACCAACAGATATTGTGAAAAAATTCTTATAAGAATATAATTAATGATTTTGTTAGAATGAAAGCAAAACAAATGAAAAAGTTTCTTCAGAATAAAGATTTGAAAAGACAAGAAAAGATAAAAGCAACGGAAGAATATCCAAATATATAGAGAATAGAATCAAAATAAGCAGCATTCCTGAAGGAGAGACCTGAACAAAAGAAACAAAAACATTATTCAAAGGCATATGACTTTATTACTCACCCAGACACTGCTGTTGAACACCAAGATATGTGCAATAATTAAATTCAGTCCACTTTGATATTTTGTACTTTGTCATATAAAAACCATAGTGCTACCCATCTTTTTCAATTTTATTGTAATAAAAATTTATTTGCCAAGGTAAGAGGATGGAATATATTTTAAGTTTGTTATCATGATTCAAACATTTAAAATATTTAGATATATTGTACATGGATCTCCATTTGAACTCTTGCCTTGGATCCTGTAAACATTAGGGGTGGGCCTGACTGCAATTTCAAATACCAAAATAATTAAGCAATATCTATAAAGTTCTCAAAGAGAAAACTGCAACCCTAGAATGGTAAACCACTTATGTCTATTCAAGTTTCCTTCAACATGTAAAAAGAAACAGATGATTTCAGATGAGCTGAGAAAATAAAGCATCCATGAGTCCTTGAAAAAGTTACAAAAAGATGTCTAACAAATGACCCAAAGTTAAGAGCTCAACATTGGGAGATTTCAGGGAAAACAGCCGTGTGAATTAGTTCCTACTGCTCAACTCTTTCAACTCCAGCCCAAATACCAACTACTTCCCCCAAGCAAGCAGGTAGAGTGTATAAGCTAAACTTCAAGTCTGCTTAGATCTCTTCAAAAGAGATTAAACTCTGGACTTTCCCTTTCAGGCCAGATAAAAACCTTGGGGTCCTGTAGAAACAGCAAGAGTCCTGGTGTGAGGATTGAAAAGTCACTAATATATGATCATACCAAACCTCATTCCTTTTCACCTGTCTGGCCCTTAGGGATAGTGGGGAATTGACAAACTGACTGAATCCTTCCTGCCCCAGAATCAGGAATCCAGAGAGCAGAGAGTTCTCAGTAGGGGATAAACAACCTTCTGGCTTGAGTGCCAGCAGGCTGCCAAGACAGAAAACACCAGTGCCTCTCAGAACTAGTGGAGTTGCCCTGGAGGTACACCAGCAGCAGGACTTGAGCCCTGAGCAAGGGTGGGACCCCGTGGAGGCAAAGGAAAATAACAAGGCCCCTAATCTAGCAGCCAGAGTGAGGAAGCAGCAGCATACCCAGCACTGAGATCACCTCCTGAAACAGAGCTACTGGAGGGCAAAGCACCGACCTTAAACATACAAAATGAAAGTGCTTAAGGAAATTTGATTACAAATCACAGATGATGGATTTAAATTTTTTAAATTAAGTAGATAAATGAAAGCGGAGAAATGTCACTATTTAGACCTTGATTAATTAAAGGTCAAGTCAGAGACCTACCTTTTTTTTTTTAATTTATTTTTTGGCTGCGTTGGGTCTTCATTGCTGTGCACGGGCTTCTCATTGTGGTGGCTTCTCTTGTTGCGGAGCACGGGCTCTAGGCACGCAGGCTTCAGTAGTTGTGGCACGTGGGCTCAGTAGCTGTGGTGCACGGGCTTAGTTGCTCCGCAGCATGTGGGATCTTCCCAGACCAGGGCTCGAACCCATGTCCCCTACATCGATAGGTGGATTCTTAACCACTGCGCCACCAGGGGAGACCCAGAGACCTATCTTAAAACATTGAGCAAGCATGCAAAAAAAGGGACTCGAGAGAAAAGATGACAACTGACCTGGACAGATCCAAAGGCATCTCTCATAAAAAAGTCACGGAGTGCCAGGAGAAATTCACAAAATATAGATGAAGGAAAGGCAATCATTAAATAAATTAATAAAAGAAAATATAAGCCTGTAGATTGAAGGGGTTAGGAGCCACAGTTAAGGTTGTTTGAGAAAATACACACCCTAGATTAGCTTCATAAAATTCTCTATTACTTCAAGGATAAAATCATACAAGCTTCAAGAGGGAAGAGATATGGGAACATATGTATATGTATAACTGATTCACTTTGTTATAAAGCAGAAACTAACACACCATTGTAAAGCAATTATACTCCAATAAAGATGTAAAAAACAAAAATCATACAAGCTTCTAGGCTAAAAGAACAAAAGATTGAGAGAGAAAAAGAATCATCCCACCCCCAAAAAAGATCAGTACTGGATTCTTTTTAACAATGCAAGGTAAAACTAGTTTAGCTTCTTTCTTAATTAAATTTGAGTCTTTTCTTGAGTATTTTGCTAAGATGGTATAGACAGCTGGTAGATTTTCTGAATATTTCCCTTTCTGAGATTTTGTTTTTTTCACTCAGCTAATGAAGGATAACAGACACTTGTAGAATACATAGTGTGCCAGGCATTGTTCTAAGCACTTTAAAAGTATTAACTCTTTAAACCTCATAACAACCTCATGAGGTAGATGTGTTATAATCCCTATTTTATAGATGAGGAAAGAAAGCATCAAGAGGTTTAAAAGTTTGTCCAAAGTCACAAGCTGGTGAGTGGCAAAATCTTTTCTCTCTACTAATATCAGCCAATGTGCAATATAAAATTAAAAGTCATAAGCAGAATAAAGAGACACCTTATAGAAAAGGCAACTCATGCAGATACAATGGTCATAAATCTGTAAACACTAACACCATGAATAATTTTGACTTCAAAAAAATTCACAATTTGTGGATGAGAAAAAATACCATAACTCAAGTCATTAAATGATATACTTGTAAAAGTATTTGTAATACAAAACAAATAATTAAGTAATCTCATAGAAAACAATAGTAAAAAGCAACTTGACAGGAAAATGGACTATGGATATAAATATGCAGAAGAGTAAGTATTAATAGGCAGAAGAGGCAATCCAAAGACACAGATGAAAATATTTTAAAAACACTATTATACAGAAAAATACAAAGTATCAATGACATACTACTTTACATCTATCAGAGCATCAAGAATCAAGAGCCTCAGTTAACACCTTACCAAAGTCCTTACTATGGCTGACGAGGCCTAACCTAGCCTACACTACCCCTTCTGACCTCATTTCTTTTCACTCTTCTCCTATCACTCAACCACACTGTCCAGCTTCAAACCATCCTCAGACGCAAGAAACATCGACCCCCTCTGCCTAAAACACGCTCTCCTTACGTATTATCATGGCTTACTCCTTCTTACATCAGGTCTTTGCCCAAAAGTCAATGCTCAGAAATTTGCCCTGATCACCCAATACAGAATCCTTCTCCCACAATACTCCCTCTCATCTTATCCTACTCTATTCTTCCTTATAACACTTACCAGTTACCTAGTATAACTGATTGTTTTATTGTATTGGTGCAATATTTATTAGATCGTATTAGTGGTTGTACTGCATTTGCTTATTACTTATCTCCCTCAGTAGACTCGAAAGTCCAAGAGAGCAGAAACTTTT